AATTTTCATCCATCTCAGCTCAAATCATCAATCATCAACAATCAAATGAGTTCCTAGACTCATTTTCAGCCAAAATGCAGCAAAAACTAACTTCCCTTACCTCGCCACGAAGATTCCGAGCTCCGTGAAGAAAACAAGCTCAACGGAGGAGGAGAAATGGACGGAGAAAAGAAACAGGGAAGGAAAACAACACCTACTCAGCACCAACTCCTAATCAGCTCCTTCAATTCAAAGTCACCACAAGGAAAAATGAGAACAACGCCAAAAAAAAGGAAGAAGAAAGTGTGAGAGATGAGAGTGAGACTTGAGAGAGAGTAAGAGTGGGGGGTGGAAACGGGGAGGAGAAAAAGGAAGGGGCCTCACAACTACTACACTAAGTAGCTAAAACAGCAAAAGATCCTAAAAGACCAGCTCTGTCTGTCAGCTACAGACTCACCATCAGCCACCAACCTATCTCTGCTCTGCTCCCATACATAGTATGATCACCGCAGTGTTATTATAAAATACATGTTATTATACAATAATTTTGATGGTTATTTATCATATATTTTACTACGGCAAAGCTGATTTTACCAAACTAGTTAAACAAACAATTTGGCATTGGCATGTGTTATAGACAAATATTCTTTTAGTACTTTAAAATATTCAAATTATAGTATTTTTTACTGTTTGCTCCTCTTTTCAAAGTCAACAAAAAAAAATCTAATAAGAGCGTTGCATTACAAGCAACGAAGATCAAAGTCAAAAAAGAACAAAAAAAAAATAATAATAATAATAATAATAAAACATAACACCAGCAAATTGCAATTAAAATGTTTGACCAGTCATAGGAGAATCCTTAAATCAAGCAAAACTCTCCTTAAAATTAGTTCTTTTCTAAAAATGATTTAAAGTGTGTATAGTCTAATTTATTTATTTATTCAAAAAAATTATTGATTTATTAAGAAAACGCATGGGAAAAAAATATTTTTCAAAAACACTAGTTCTTGTACAAACTTTTAATCCTTTTGTTTTGTTTTTGAAAATTTTACAATATTCCATTCGGAACGAATGTTATTATTTTCAAAGGATCATATGCTCTTGTCAGTGTCTTTTAGCACCTTAGAACTTCTAATCATTTTGGCTTATTTATTTCCGTTATTTATCAAAATCACATTAGCTCCTGAGCTAATTAAGATAAATGAAATTAAATTAGTTTGTTACAAAAATATTTGGTCGTGCATGTTCAATTCGAAATTTCTTAATTACTTGATTTTAAAATAAGTGAGCAATTCTTCTTGATTTTTTTTTATTTTTTTTAATGGAGCACTCTTAGAGTAATTTGTATTTACCTCCTTAAAAAAAAAATGAGTGAGGACTTGAAATTGTGACCTTTCAAATACATAATTATGTTTGGTGTTACTTGACTAAACTCTTAGAATAGTGGATTTGAGCTTATTTCAACCATACAAAATCGATTTGTAAGGTGAGGATTGTTGTGTTGTTATCCACTTATATACTATTTAATTGTTTTATCTTTAGTCGAAATGAGACTTAGGTTGGTTTGAAAAGAAAGGTGAGCATAATGCTTATGTATGTTTTGAATCTAATTTAACTAAAGTTCCCCATAATACTTGGTGGATTGATTCTGGATGTACAACTCATGTTTCTAATATGATGTAGGGATTCCTTACTGTAGACACCTAATTTCGTCCAGACCAACTAAAGCAATGAAATGGATGTCCATCATCAAAGAAATGGAGCTCCCAAGCATGGAAATAACAGGACATGACGCCAGAAGACCTAAAACCCCAAACAAGTTAATTTTAGTAGCCTGGACTACGCCGTTCGCAAACTGGAACGGACCGTTCCAAGTTACAAAAAGGGCCTAAAATCCTAGTTTGAAACAGGTCATTCCAAGTTCATAAAAAGGCTAAAACCTAAGTTTGGAATGGGTCATTCCCAAAACTGGAACGGGTCGTTCCTAAAATGGAACGGGTCGTTCCAAGCTACAAAAAAGGCCTAAAACCTTAGTTTGGAATGGGTCATTCCAGCATAGGCATTTATATGTTCAACTCAACTCTGGACGGGCCGTTTTGGTTTTAGAACGGGCCGTTCCAGGAGGCGAAATTAACAAATAACGTGCCTGAGACTCAGACATGTAGTTCAAGATAATTAGGAGAATGATTATAATAATTATCTAAGGAAATGTTTGTTTAAAAAACTTAAACACTCACCTACCTCAACTACCCATTTATTCTAAATCATCCTACCTCAACCTCCCATTCATTCTAAATCATCTTTTTCTTTTCTTTTTGTCTTGTCAAATCCTAATGACATATATTGGTGATAGTTGTGAAAATTTAAATAAGTACAAAAAAAAGAAACAAAAAAAATGAAAATGACCTACTGGGATAAAAACCCGTAAAGGGTGTCCTAGGCAAAAATTAAGGCAAATAAAAAGAGCAAAAATACCCACTAGGATACACCCTACGCAAAAGTTAGGGTCCCTAAACATAAAAAAGGGGAGCCCCAAGATGGTTCAATACATCAAATGGCCAATACAACTAAAGTTGTGCATCAAGCAAAGCAGTCTCTTCGTGGGAAGGAGAAAAGAATAGCCACCTTTAAAAAAAAAACTAAAATCAAAACATGCATTACACGCATCCAAAAGCGTTTCACACACTTAGAAAGTTTTCTTTATCAAAGGGGGATTATTCAAAAATAAATAAATAAAAATCATGCATGAATAAGCATCCAACATTTTTTGCATCCTGACAAAAGGCAAAAGTAGCCCAAACTAGGGGCATCAACAATCATCAATTAGGAAAACATAAGCAATCAGTCATCAACAAACTGAAAGGACTCCACAAAAGACGCCTAGAGAGGCATCGCAATACTCACATGGCAGGGACAATACCAAAACCTATCACCCATTTACTCCTTTGTCCACCAGCACAAGGGCACCACCTACCAGCAATCATCGTCTTCATCAAATGTCCTACCCAAATAAAAGGGGAAATCACACCATCAGCATCAACAGACAGCTTGGAGAGGCCAGACATAATAATACTCAACATCAGCAGGCAGCCTAGAGAAGTCAGGCATAATAATACTCAACATCAGCAGGCAGCATGGAGAGGCCAGACATAATAATATTCAGCCAGCAAGCAGCCTGGAGAGGCCAGACATAATAATGCTCACCATTCAACAAGCATCCTGGAGAGGCTAGCCATAATAATACTCTCTCTTCAACAAGCTACAAATAAAGGAACACATTATCACAAGAGAAACAATGGAGCTTCTAATCGAAGACTATAGATCAGGTGTACAATTTGTCAGCCTTGTTACCCAATAGAGTACGCAACCAACACTCAACTGCTCTAAAGGGTGAGGATACGAGCAAATACACACTACAAAAAAACTAATTAAATATGGCGATTTTAATATGGCAGTTTCAAGAAACTGCCACTATTTACTTTATAATACGACAGTTATAAAACTGCCATTATTTTCATTCAAAATATGACATTTATAAGTGCCAGCATTTTAACGACAAAAATATATGTAAAATATAACATTGTTCTATTTTTAAAGATGCCCCTTATAATCTAAACTTTATTTTCTGTTAGATTTGACTTAATGAATTTCGAAATTTGAATTCCCGTTTTTTTGTCTTTTATTATTTATTAAGTAAATATTCATTTTATTAATTATTTAAAAAATTCATTAAGAAATTTTAAAAATTTAAAACTATAAATTAAATTGAATCATAATTAATTAAAATTATTAATATGGAAGGATATTAATATTTTTTCTCTAAAATATTTTATTTTTCCGCTTAAACTACCGCACCTCCCTCTTATCAAAAATTCACATTCGACATTTGAGTGGGAAAGCCAAATGCTCTGTGAACAACCCTAGTTGTTGTCCCATTCATCTCTGCTCCGTCCCATTCATCACCATCAAAGGCCTTCTACCGCAGCGAGCCCACAAGCCTATGCCAATCTCTTAGTGCAGGTTCTCTTTCATCCATTTGGATCGAGCCCACAGGTGCGCATCTCCATCTACAAAAAGGGGTTTTCAAAAGGTAAATAAAGGAGTTGTCTTTTGTGATTTCCTGTGTTGATTTGATCTTGTAGGTTACTAAATTATGTGACTTGGGGATTGATGACCTCGTTTGTTCTGTTGGCTGGGCTCAACGTGGTACATTCCTTGCTGTTGGAACTAGCAATGGTAAAGTTCAGGTAAAAGTTTACTAGCTAATCGCTTCTTTGGTGCATTTATAGATTCATATCATGGGTTTTCCAAGGGTGTATTGTTGGTGGGCATGTTTTAAATTATGGGACAAATGTCGTTGATGAGGCCGAAATTGCGGTCGTGGACTCTGTTTTGTCATGATCTATTTTTTAAAAGCTTTAGTCATAGCTTTAGTCATAGATGCAACATGAGATAGGACTGAAATTGTGTTGCAGTAGTACTGATCCGTGGCCATAATAAAATTGGTCCCCAGTTCTTTGCGCCTCCATTCAGAGGGTTGATTTCGTGGACCCTAAATCTGCAAGAGGTCCAAGCCCTTTGTTCTCTAGGAATGCAGTTGTCTTATCTCTTTCACCATTATTCCTGAGAGTCAAATAATCGATGGAATGGATTAAAGAGATAACAAAAGCAAGCATCAGCTCTCATTTCATGCCTTTAAGATGGACCTCACTTCCCCAACTTGTTAAAAAATCCTAATTTCTTCTATCAATATTAACTTCTTTAAGCTTCACATTTTAATTTTATTAATTTTTTAATTTAAACCAAGATATCCCACCAATTTGAAGGTTTGTATAGGAAGATTTTATTGAAGTTGCTATTGAAGTAATCTGTTGATGAAGTTTATCCCAGATGCAATATTTAAGAAAGATATATCATGAAGTTTTTCTTTGGTTTCACTGTTGCTTGAGGTCCTTGCTGTAGCACTTTTAAAAGGTAATATTCTCAATATTGGTCTTCTTATGCCTCTCTTTCACTGTTGCTTGAGGTCCTTACTGTAGCAAACCAATCTCAGCCATTCTCATAAAAGAGTGAGTGTGTGTTTGAATTATAGTTAGAAAGTTAAATTGAGTTGAGTTTAAATTTTCAAATAAAAGTAACATTTTTTTTAGCTTTAGTTTAACTAAAGTTAGCTTGTAATTTACACTCACACTCAACTGAAAGGGACAAAAAAATTGTCAAGTATATAAGTACTGTGTTTGAGACCAACTAACTGCAATTAGAAATTTCAAATGGATAATCAAACATAGCTTGATCGGGCAAAATTAGCTTCTCATCTTTCACATGACATTACGTGAATAACAGGGAATTCCTTGTTATCATGACAACTACATGTAACATTGCATCACTGAATACTCCCTAGTCACACAATCAGTAGAAGGAAACATAGACAATAGTGATGAGTTTAGTAATACAGTAGCCACTTCACGTGATTACCTAGCAAAGCTACTTTTCTGGTCAGCACATGTCTTTCTCATTGCACTTCTAAAATGTTTGCTTAGATCCCAGTGATTTCATATTCTAAAATTAATTATATACATTAATGTTTTTCAAGAGTTGACTAATCACTGAACAGTGTAGGAAACTAGTTCATGTTTCAAACATGAGTCAAACCGGTAATAATTAAATATATGTTTTAATAATAAAATAATAGCATAAGTTATTACATGTCCTTCAAGATAAAAGAATTCATAATAATAGTTAAATAATAACAATCTATGTGTAAACAAAAAAATCATTTAGAAAAACTGGTTCAAACCTGTTTCTTTTCTTCACTGATTTTTTGGGTTATTTGAACCGATGACTGAACTAGTGCCTAGTTGAAGTGGCCGGTTTATTCTGGTTTTATAACATTTTGTAAGCACAAAAAGAAATATTTTCTTCACTTTGCTTAATCAGTGGAGCCTAGTATTTCTTGTGTCTAATTATCTTGAGGTTTTCTTTCTGTTGGCAGGTGTATGTTATTGGGCCACCACTTAAGAGGGTTGGAAAATAGATTTCATCTGAGCTGTGTTGTTGGACTGTTGTAGACTTGTAGAAAAGGTGATAGCCATGTATATTCTTTTCTTCCTCTTCTTCTTTTCATGCCTTCCCCTTCCCATAAAAAATTTTTTATTCAACGAAAAAACTGAGTGTGAAGTAATCACTTGCCCTCCTTGCTTCTTGCTTATGCTTGCATCAATAATGTGGTTTTGGATAAAGATAACATCACGTCTTATATTTGAAACAAAATTGAAGGTATAGGCCGTAACAAATCAAGTGGGAGGAAGTAGTCTCCACCATTTATACTGTGTTTGGGAATTCTACTCAACAGAAACTAGTTGAGTTGAACTAAACTGGTTTTTTTTTAAACTATATTCACAAGTTTTTTTTTCATCTAATCATATTGTTTTTGTTGAATGTGACTTTCAACTGGTATCCAAACATGTATATAATTTTTTATGGATTATTAATTTTAGGTTAAGCAAATCAATCTCAGCCATTCTCATAAAAGAGTGAGTGTGTGTTTGAATTATAAATGTTGTGACCATAACTTTCCAATGCATTAAGCATAATTATGAACACAAATCCTCTTAAGTAACTTGAGTGTTCAAAGAATATATTGCGTAGATCTTTCATGAAAACTTTGTGTTCATATATAGCTATCAGTTTTATATGTTAGCTATATATTGATTCCTTGATTCCTTAGGTTGTGCATAAGGCCTAGGATGCCTTTGGACGTATTGATTCCTTGATTAACAACATTAGTGACAAAGGTAATTTCACTTCCCATTTTTCTACTTCTATACAATTGCTGTAATATATGCTTTTTTGTTTTCATAAATAATACTATACATATACCTTTTACCTTGTATTTCAATAGAATATGAACCAACTAGTGTAACACCCCGAATTTTTCCTATTAATACTACGAATAATCAGCATACAGCACAGCAAATCAGCATACAGCACGGCTAAGTAGTATTCAACACAGCTTACTACTCACAACTTAGCTCATCATTCTAGAGCACAACAATATTATAAATCAACATTTAAAATCATCAATAACAGCACAGCTCAGCACAGTAATATACATCTATTACAGCTTAACATCATCTTTCAACATTAACATCTAGTCAGCACAGCATATTCATCAATTTTAGTTTACTTTAGCATAAAAAAACATCTATCAACAATTTCAGCAAGGTTTACCAACTATCAACATCTAAATCATCATCATCATACGCGCCCGACGCACTCATGGTCGCGCCCGGCGTGGCACAACCAGAGAGCACCAGGGGCCATCGCGCCCGGCACAAGAATACTCGTGCCCGGCGTGACCCAACCAGAGAGCCCAAGGCTCTCACGCCCCTGGCGCAATTCAGCTTTGTGCCCAGCGCATGCCCAGGCAGAGACTCCAATGAGTCTCACGCGCCCAGCGTGGCCTAACCCGCGTCCAGCGTGGGGAAGGCAGAGACCTACCAGGGTCTCGCGCCCGGCGCAATTCGTATTGCGCCCAGCGCCCTCTTGGCAGAGACTCCCAAGGAGTCTCCGTGCCCAGCTCAACAATGGTGGCTCCCAGCGCTGCACGCCTAAAAGGAGCCTCCAGGTGGTCACGCGCCCGACGCGAAGAACTGCGCCCAGCGCGAAGCTCAGCAGCAACTTCCCCAAGTTCAAAAATTTTGCCAAAAACCTGCCAACACAGCCATGAAACCCACATGCAACCCATCCAAAAGTTCTCATATTCATCAAAGAGTTTAAAAATGTAAGCTTTTTCAACATAAAACCAAAATCAAGGGAAAACCCCAAAATTTCACCCAAAATCGAAAACCCCAAAAACTCAATTTTCATCCATCTCAGCTCAAATCATCAATCATCAACAATCAAATGAGTTCCTAGACTCATTTTCAGCCAAAATGCAGCAAAAACTAACTTCCCTTACCTCGCCACGAAGATTCCGAGCTCCGTGAAGAAAACAAGCTCAACGGAGGAGGAGAAATGGACGGAGAAAAGAAACAGGGAAGGAAAACAACACCTACTCAGCACCAACTCCTAATCAGCTCCTTCAATTCAAAGTCACCACAAGGAAAAATGAGAACAACGCCAAAAAAAAGGAAGAAGAAAGTGTGAGAGATGAGAGTGAGACTTGAGAGAGAGTAAGAGTGGGGGGTGGAAACGGGGAGGAGAAAAAGGAAGGGGCCTCACAACTACTACACTAAGTAGCTAAAACAGCAAAAGATCCTAAAAGACCAGCTCTGTCTGTCAGCTACAGACTCACCATCAGCCACCAACCTATCTCTGCTCTGCTCCCATACATAGTATGATCACCGCAGTTCAAACATCATGGAGACAACAAAAGGGTAAGCTAGTGAAAAGAAATCATCATACATATATAGCAATATGAATGGTAAACAACTACAGCTATCAGCACATCAATCAGCTTATACTACACCACAACAATTCAGCAATATCAGAACCGCAAAGTGGCAATTTCAGCACTGCATAGCAGCAATAACAGCACCACTCTAGTGGCTATACCAACACCGCATAGCGGCAATAACAGCACCAACTTAGCGACTATAACAACACCACAATAGTGGCTAATAACAGCACCGACATAGCAGCAATAACAGCACCAAAATAGTGGCTAATAACAGCACCACATAGCGGTAATAATAGCACCGACTTAGTGGCTATAATAGCATACAACTCAACATTATACAGCATAGCCAAATAGCTCCCAGCACAGCACAGCAAATCAGCATACAGCACAGCAAATCAGCATACAGCACGGCTAAGTAGTATTCAACACAGCTTACTACTCACAACTTAGCTCATCATTCTAGAGCACAACAATATTATAAATCAACATTTAAAATCATCAATAACAGCACAGCTCAGCACAGTAATATACATCTATTAAGTTAATTAAGAGGAATAAGAAAAAAATAGGTTTAATTATATTTAAGAGGAATGAGAAAAAAAATATAGTAAATTATTTTACTACCATGTGAAAAGAATGAGAAATTTATCCTCTAGTTTTTCATTCTGATTTTTCTTTATTTGCTTAATTTGACATCTCATTTTATGGACCTTTGGATCTTACATATTCTTCTTCTTTTTTCCATGTGTTGTAAATTTGCAAAGTTTATTCTTTTATCCCTTTAATCATAAATAAAATTGCAGCCATTATGCATTTTAACAATGCTACATTTTGTATTGTTTTTTAGTCATGTCAATGGATAAAACATGGATTACTAAACCATGAAACGCAATTGAATATGCAAATGAGTTGAACGTGTTTTTGGACTTTGCTTATGAACATGCTAATGGTCATGTTATTAAGTGTCCATGTTCAAAGTGTGGCTTTAAAAAGTGGCAAACTAGGGATGTAGTTCAAGAACACCTAACATGTAGACCTTTCCCTGAAAACTACAAAATGTGGTATTTGCATGGTGAAGGACCAAGTGTAAGTGAATCTAGGGCCTCTCAAAGTCCACATGTCATACAAGATTCTTTAGAACCTCAAAATCCAATGGAAGACATGTTGAATGATGCATTTGGGCTTGTGGGGCATGGTGTAAATGATTTTGAAGGGCCTTTAGAGGATGATGGAATGCAAAATAATATGGTGTATAATGAAGATAATGTAGAGTTTGATGCGTTTGTTGGTGTCTAAAAAAGATTTTTTTTTGTAGATTTAGTCCCACTTCTAAGAAATTCAAAGGAGTAAGTCTCACATCGAACAACTCTTTTATTTTTTTGCCTCCTAGATGGCTATATAAGAAACCTCTTGGCCAAGGGAATAGACACACCTCAAGTTGCATAGCTCCCCCCTCTCTATATATTTCTGAGTGATAGTGAGACTTTTTATAAAGTGAAAGGCTGCCAAAATGCGCCCTTATACGCATTTGGAAAGATTCTCTTATAAAAGGCTTGCTTCAGAGGTTCCAATTTCTTCTCTTCTATTTATTATTTTATTTATTATTTATTTATTATTTTGTTTATTCTTTTATTTATTGTCTTATTTATTTTTCTTATATGCAATAAATAAATAAATAATCATCACTAGAAGAAAAATGCAAATTTTTGACGGACATAATCCATCAGAAAGAAGGAAAATCCATCGAAAATTCTCTTTCGGACAGATGCAAATCTGTCAGAAAAATGGGCCTTGAAAAAAAATTCGTCGAAAAAAATTTAATTTGTCAAAATTTTTTGATGGATATATCCGTTCGATACATCCGTCGAAAAGTACCGTCGGATATATCCGTTCGATACTTTACTTTTCAACGTATTTTGCCCTTATTGCGCAGTTTCTGAGAAACTTCCTAAAAGATCACCATCCCTATATTACTCCAAGTCAAGCACGCTTAACTGTGGAGTTTTGATGAGATAAGCTATAGAAAGGCAGATGCATGTTGTTAGTATAAGTAATACAAATTAATTCATTTAAGTCATCCTCAACTATACAATCTCATACTTATACTATCTTTGGATCTCTCTCATTTTGGTGTATCCGGACCGTTATAAAAATATAATATATATAATAATTATATTATCAATAATAATAATTATATTTTATTTAATTAATCTTTATTTATATATATACTTACTTTTATAATTAACAATCTACTTATTTCTATTTAAAATTAATATTATGATACAATTTAAATTATCTATTATAAATTTAAAATTTTAAATAATAATTTTTATATTTTAAAATGAGAAGGGTTATAATAACACTGGTATAACTTTTACTAAGTATTACATTGTTCAATAACTTTATATTAAATGTGAATTTTGTAAATCCAACCGTTAAATTGAAAGTTCATATCACTTTATATGTTTATATCAAGTTTTGTTAAAATTGAACAACAACTTGAAGGTAATCAAAGTGCTCATATTTTAATATATTTTGAAATGTATATGTTACGTCAATTTTATTTTACAAGAATGAAGTATCAAATCATCTTGAATTCATATAAAATTTTGTATATATGATCTAAGAGTAAAAAACTTTCAATCTAACGGTTGAATTTATAAAATTCACATTTAATATAAAGTTATTGAGCGATGTAATACTTAGTAAAAATTACACCGATGTTATTATAACCCTTCTCTTTTAAAATATGATTTTTATAAATTAAATTTTAACATTTTAAATAAATTATTAATTAACTTAATATATTTATTCATCTTAAATCTAAGATATAAAATTCAAAAAATGTATTTATCCTTGTTTTATTTTCTAATTATCAACCATTAATGAAATACTGATTTAAAATTTTATCTAATTATATCATAATATTTTCATATCAAATTTAGAATAAGATATTAGTTATATAAAAATATCAAGATCATATAGTAAATTTTCAATAAGAGTCTAGTTAAATAATTTAAAATAATTAATTTTTCAACTATATTGTTTGCAAATAATTTAATCTAAAGCTAATCATTTTTTTCTATATTGATTATTAGTAAAATTTAATAACTTTTAATTTAATAATTAGATCGATGAAATTCAAACACACTATGAGTTATTGAGCGGAGTAACTTTACTAAGAGTTACTTTGTGAGTCATTTGATTCCTCCTCCTCCTCCTCCTCCTCACTCTCTCTCTCTCTCTCTCTCTATATATATATATATATATATATAATTTTATTGATGATCTTTTTTAATATATGATTGTCAATTTTTGTCAACAAATAATAATTTGTCAAAAATATTCCATCAGTAATATAACTTTTCTTACAAATTTTTTTAT